ATTTTACTTTCCCATTAGTTTTTGAATGTTTTCAGCGTCCTCGCTTTTTCGGGTTTCCCACGTTCCAAGACCGCCCAAGAAGCCCCCAAAACCGCTCCACAACGGCCCAAGGGGCTCCCAGAGCGTCGGCCCAGCCGCCCTCAAAAGGGGGTCCCGACGGCTCATAAGAGCCAAGCCGACCAACACCCTGCCCGTCAAACCCGCCGCCCTCGAAATCGCACCACTCCGCCGCCCCGCGCCCCCTTCATCTGATATTCCCTGAAGAATAGCCGCATTATGCTCATCATCCCGGGATCGCAACCAATTTTCTGGAAATTCGGTTGCGAACCCGGGATTCCAGCTGTTTCCCGTGCGGCCCCCACTCATATGCGCCATTCCATGGGCCCGCGGCCTCCAACTCGCAGTTTTGGCCCGTCCCAGGTTGATTGCCACCCTTTCTGCTCTTCCTGCGCTTCTCCGAAGTACGAACCAGCTGATCGCGGCTAAAATGGAAAACATGATGGCACCGCGGGCCAACCATTCCAAAGCTTCAAGGAACAAGATGCATGGCGCGAAGCGCCAATGCAGCCTTGTATACATATATATATATATATAAAAATTGGATTCGTACGTTGTTTTTGTTGGGTATGCGTATGGGTTGCAGATGATAATCGTAAGGCTTTTGTCTGATAATCGTATGGCTTTCATTTGAAAAGTGCATGGTTTGCAAATGGTAATCGTATGGTTCCCCCATGATATTCGCATCGTTTTTCATAGGATAATCGTATGGTAATCATATGGTAATTGCATGGTGATCACACGGTATTTGCATGTTTTTCGTATTGTAGCCGTATGGCTCTGGTATGGTAGCCGTATGGCCTTCGTATTGTGCTCGTATTGGTTTCAGATGATAACCGTATGGCTGCCATGTGATACGTGTATGGTAGTCGAACGGTTATTGTCCGGCTTCAGAAGGTATTCGTGTGGTTTTATGATGATCGCACAATGTGTGTCATACGATACACATATGGTTTTCGTATGGTAACCACAGGGTTTTCATGTGGTGGTCGTAAGGTTTTCGTGTGGTAATCGTATGGCTTCCATGTGATAGCCGTATGGGTTTTGTATGATAAATGCATGGCTTTTGTATGGTAATCGTTTGGTTTTCATATGGTAACCGAATGGTTGTATATGGTCATCGTGTGGTTTGCTTATGGTGATCGTATGGTTTCGTATGACAATCGTATGGCGGTCATATGCTAATTGTACGGTGTTCGTGTGGCAATCGTGTTTACATAGAAATATATGTATATAAACACATGTTTGTAATCGCATGGTCTGGGTTTCGTATGTAAGCCGAATGTTTGGTAACCGTATGGCTGTCATTTGATAAGTGTGGCTTTCGTATGACAATCTGATGGTTGTCATATGATGCCGTCTTATTATCGCATGGCGTTCGTATGGCTTTCATGCGGTCGTATGGCTCTCGCATGGTAATCGTACGGTTCTCAGAGGATCGCCGTGTGGTTTTCATATGATATCCGTTTGGTTTTCATGTGATAATCGTACGGCTGTTGCATGGTAGTGACACGATTTTCCGAAGTAATTGTATGGTTTGCGTATGCTAATTACATGTGGTTTTTGTATGGCAATCGCATGGCTTCATGTGGTCGCCTTATGGTTTACCATCGTAATGGGATGGTGCGTCACTGATCGTCGTTTTTTTACGGTTGCAGCCGTAAGGTTTTCATATGGTAACCGCGTGGCTGCTGTATGGCAGTCGCATGGTTTTCCCCTAGAGAAGATTCTGGTTCCGTATGGTAATGGTCTGGCTCGCATCTGGTAGCCGTATGGGTTCCACCCGATAATCGCAAGGCTTGTATATGACAATCGTAGGATTTCATATGGTAGTCGTATGGTCTTCTGATGATAACCGTATGGCTTGCGTATGGTAGCGTACGGTTTCCCGATGATAGTCGTGTGGTTGTCCTGTGACAGCCGTGTGATTTTCATATGGCAACCGTATGGATGTCATATGGTAATCGTATGACTTCAGATGGTATTCGCATGGTTGTTCCGATGGTAATCGCATGGCCTTTTGTATGGCAATTACATGTACTTGTGTATTTTAATGTTTTCGAATCGTATTGGTATCTGTGTCCAAAGATGAGCGTATGGTTCTCGTATAATAATCGTGCGGTTTTCAGATGGTCGTCTTCTGGTATCGTATAGTCGTGGCTTGGTTTTCCAATGATAGTTGTTTGGTTGTCATGTGATAATCGCACGGTGGCCATCTGGTAACCGTATAGTTCTTGTATGACAACCTCATGCTTCCCACCGGATAAGTTTAAGGTTTCGTATGGTAGTGATAAGGTGCTCTTATGGTAGTGGTAAGGCTTTCCTCTGGTAGTGGTGTGGCTTCCGTATGCTAATGGTGTGGTTTGCTTGCGCTCGTGGGATGGTTTCCTTATGGTAAGGGTGTGGCTTTCGTATGGTAATCGTACGGGTTTCTGATGGTAATCGTATGGTTGTCTTATGGTAGTGGTGTTGTGTTCGTGTGGTACTGGTATGGTTTCTTCTTATACTGATATGGTTTTCTTATGGCAATGGTATGGTTTTCATATGGTAATGGTATGGTTTCCTTAAGGTAGCGGTATGGCTCTCCTATGGTTATCGCATGGTTGTCGTATGCGGCGGCTCGGCTTCCCAGAATCCCCACTACCCTCCCTTCCTCCCAGGGCAGGCAGAGTAGGGTTAACCCTATTTCTAGTATTGCTGCTGCTACTATCATTATTACTAGTACTACTACTAGTATTACTACTATAGCGACTGCTACCACTACTGTTACTACGGTTATTACTTGTATGTTCTGCTACTACCACGTACTACTACTACTACTACTACTACTACTACTACTACTACTACTACTACGACTACGACTACGACTACGACTATTACTACTACTACTACTACTGCTACTACTACTACTACTACTACCACTACTACTATTACTACTACTACTATTACTACTACTACTACTACTACTACTACTACGACGGCTAATACGACGACTATTACTATTATTATTACTGGTGATATTGCTGCGATTAATACTGCTACTACAACAACTAATGTTACTATTTTTATGGCTACTACCACCACTACTACTACTACTCCACGACTACTACTACTACTACTACTACTACTACTACTACCATTGCGACTACTTTTGCAACGGTTACCACTACAACTACTACTGCTACTACTACTACTACTACTACTACTACTGCTACTCCAACAGCTACCACTACTACTACTACCACTACCTACTACTACTACTACTACTACTACTACTTACTACTACTACACTACTACTACTACGGACTACTACTTACTACTACTACTACTACCACTACCACTACTACTACTACTACTACTACTATACTACTACTACTACTAGTACTAGTACTAGTACTAGTACTAGTACTACTACTTACTTACTACTACTACTACTACGACTACTACTACTACTAGTAGTAGACTACTACTAACTACTACTACTACTACTAGTACTACTGCTAGTGCTACTACTGCTGCTGCTGCTACTACTACTACTACTACTACTACTACTCATACTACTACTACTACTACTACTACTACTACTGCTACTACTAATACTACTACTACCACTACTACTACTACTACTACTACTACTACTACTCATACTACTACTACTACCACTACTACTATTATTACTACTACTACTACTACTACTACCACTACTATTACAACTAACAATACTCACAACGAATCCGAAACACATTACATACGAAGGCCAGTACAACTGACAGATGAGTGGAACATTGGTGATAATGACATAAGTTGTATTATTAAGAAGACGGATGGGAACTAGAAGACTAAGACGAACCATGTCAGTACGATGAAGAAGAGGAGGAGGAGGAGGAGGGGGAGGAGGAGGAGGAGGAGGAGGAGGAGGAGGAGGGGGGGGCAGGAGGATTTGGAGGTGGACAACGAGGACGAGGGGAAGGATAAGAGCAAGGGGAATGAGGGTAGAAATGAGGAGGAGGAGGAGGAGGTAGAGGAGCAGCAGGGTCAGGAGGCAATGAGGAGGAATCTGATGATCATGAGAAGGAGGAGGAGGAGGAGGAGGAGGAGGAGGAGGAGGAGGAGGGGGAGGCGGGTACGGGGCGAGCAGGCCCAGTGAGGTCCCATCATTCCTCTGCGTGAGCGGATCGTCTTGACCGTCTGTCTCTGGCCGAATCATGTGTCGTTGCCTTCAACTTGGCGCGGTGGAAAGGGTCTGTCGGTTTCTGCAGCACTTTCGCAAAGGCCCCCGCGCGAATGGAGCTCGGCAGCCAGGCACTTGCTTCGAGGCGTTGGTGCGAGTCCGAGTGTCAGGAGTCTTCCCTGCCAGTGCCAATGCGACCCGGGCGCGCACGCCTTCTTCTCCTTCAGTCATCGCCATGAAAGGGCAGAATGGATCCTGAGGGAATTCTGTCGCAGACCCTGGGGCTTTCTTCAGGGCCAGTCTTTCCTCGCATCGCATCGCCAGCTCACACCTCGTGGCAAGCATCTGGACGCTTGCTGTTGAAGGCTGTGGCCGAAAAAGTTGAGTTTCATCATGGTTAAATCCAGGAGTTGATGCTGCCAGTCCTTCAGTCTGAGTTGTTGTATGACTGCCCCTACGCCCATGGAGGACCCCGGGGCCCCCTTCTCTCCAGGACCCGTTTCCTCCAGAACCCGTGTCCTTCCTGCTGCATATTCCTTTCTATCCCCCTTCGTCTCGAGGGAAGACGCGGGGACCATGGACCAAGGTGCCGCGTTATCTTGCCGATGCTTGTCTTGGTCATGGTCTACGCCAGCCGTCGCCGATTCGCGATGATGGTCCACGAACTGACGCTGACCAAAATCGACAATGACCAAGAAGATCGGCATGACGTTTCCGCATTCAGTCTTGGTCATGTTCCCCGTTTTCTTCCCCTCCGTTGTCCTCCTCCAAGGAGATTGGAATGACGCCGACCTGGGCTCGATAAGCTGGGCCTACGTCGACCCGAAGGGGGCCGTCCAGACCGGCTTCTCGTCGGAGGAGATGAAGCTGTGGTTCGAGCAAGGCAAGGCCTGTGGAGTGCAGGGAGGAGGAGGAAGAGGAGGAGGAGGAGGAGGAGGAGGAGGAGGAGGAGGAGGATTGAGGATCGACATTTTCGGGCCTCGGGGGGGTCGTTTCAGGCCCTGGGTCCGTCGGACACCGATCCAGGATAAAAATGTGCCTCCCTGGGAGGGGTTACGGGGTTACGGGAACTGTTTAGAATGGGTTTTGTCAGGTCGGGCGTAGAGGATGGAGTTTTCCTGGCCGTTTTTCGTAAGTTTGTGAGTCCCCAGAATGTTTCTTGTGCCCATACGCACCCCTGGAGAGGTTTGGGGGTCAATTTTGGCAGGAAGGGGGAGGTGGTGGAGGAGGAGGAGGAGGAAGAGGAGGAGGAGGATGTGGAGGAGCAGGAGGAGGCGGAGGACGAGGCGGAGGAAGAGGAGGAGGAGGAGGAGGAGGAGGAGGAGGAGGAGGGAGGAAGAGGAGGAGGAGGAGGAGGGGAGGGGGAGGAGGAGCGGAGGAGGAGGAGGAGGCGGAGGAGGAGAGGAGGAGGAGGGAGGGGACGGAGGACGAGGAGGAGGAGGAGGAGGCGGAGGGGGGATGAGGAGGAGGAGGAGGAGGAGGAGGAGGAGGAGGAGGAGGAGGACGAGCACGAGGACGAGGAGGATGAGGAGGACGAGGAGGAGGAGGCGGAGGAGGAAAAGGATGAAAATAAGGAAAAGGAAGAAAAGGAGGAGGCGGAGGCGGATGCGGAGGCGGAGGAGGAGGCGGAGGCGGAGTTGGAGGCGGAGGGAGAGGAGGAGGGGAGGAGGAGGAGGAGGGAGGAGGAGGAGGAGGAGGAGGGGGGAGGGGAGGAGGAGGAGGAGGAGAAGGAGGAGGAGGAGGAGGAGGAGGAGGAGGAGGAGGAGGAAGAGGAAGAGGAAAGGGAGGAGGAAAGGGAGGAGGAAAGGGAGGAGGAAAGGGAGGAGGAGGAGGAGGGAGGAGGAGGAGGAGGAGGAGGAGGAGGGAGGAGGAGGAGGAGGAGGAGGAGGAGTAGGAGGAGGAGGAGGAGGAGGAGGAGGAGGAGGGAGGAGGAGGAGGACGAGGACGAGGACGAGGACGAGGACGAGGACGAGGACGAGGACGAGGAACGAGGAGGAGGAGGGGGAGGAGGAGGAGGAGGAGGAGGAGGAGGAGGAGGAGGAGGAGGAGGGAGGAGGAGGAGGAGGAGGAGGAGGAGGGGGAGGGGAGGAGGAGGAGGAGGAGGAGGAGGAGGGAGGAGGGAGGGGGAGGGGGAGGGGGAGGGGGAGGAGGGGGAGGGGGAGGGGGAGGGGGAGGAGGAGGACACGAGACACGAATAAGAAAACGTTCACATACGTATATTTCCCGGTGCTGGATCAGCGGCAGCGCACTGCGCATTGGCAGCACCCGCGCCGCACGGACACCAGCAGGGCGGAAGTGGAGCGCACCCTCCACCTTCGGCCGCCCGCCAGCCAGGACGGGCCGCCCTCGCCAGGAGGCCGCATGGCACGCCAGCGACGGCGGGGCTGGGCCACAGCCGGGCCCGACGCCGAGCCGGCCAGACGCGTGGAAAGGTCCACTGGGCAGAATGCCGAAGAGCTCCGAGAGCACAGTTGCGCCACGGCGCGGGCGGAGCAGGCCCGCGGATGTGCTTCGCGCCCTGGCGGTTGCGCAGCTGGTGGCCGTGGAGCGCGAGGACGGGTGCCACGACGGCGTCGTCAACGAGGGACGCCGCCCTCGATCGAAGAAGAAACGACGTAAACATGAACTTGCGGAGCCCCGCGCGGATTTCTCGGATCTGCGCGGGGGTGCCACCTGGTGGCGCCTCCGGCGCCGTCCAGCGCCGCCCCGAGAAATCCACGCGGACCTCCGACAAGTGATTCTGCTCATGCAGTTTTTGTGTCCCTCCACGCCGCCGACCCGTCCGAGGAGTCCGAGGCACCCGGCGCGGGAGCAGACGCAGAGGAGCAGTCGTTGCAATCGTGAGGGCAGCAGTTGCTGCATGCACGGTAGAGCATCTGCACCAATGTTGGCCCGAAGAGGCACCAGCAGCGCGGGGGGCGCTCACAGGCCCCAAGGCCCCCGCGCCGCGCGCCGAACACTGGCGTGGCTCAGTCAGCAGTTCTGACGACCCGCAGAAAATGATCGCATCGAGGTGTTTGGTCAGTCGCAGTGCCAAAAGCTTGGGAGGAGCACCGCGCGTGATCGGCTCGCGCGCGCACGCCAGGGCGACCGCGGCCAGCTGGCCGCCAGCCCGCACGAGCGGTGTGCCGGAGAGGCGGGCCCCACTGAGCGACCAGCCAAGCACGCGTGCTGACGCACATCACAGCGAGCGCGGGGCAGACATCGAGGACGAAAAGCTGAATTCATGGTGCTCCAGCCTGTTTTAGCCCTGATCACAAGAAAGAAACTCGAGCACCAAGGAAATACCGAAACTTGCGGGTTTCCAAGTGTCGGGCCCTGGGAGGCGATATTCGTTCGACACTGCTTCGATACTTTTCTGGGTGCTCGAAGTTATTTCTGGGATGTGGTCCGTAAGTTTGATGGGAACAACATAAAGCTAAATACGTTAAACATAGACTATCGGAGGTCCGCGCGGACTTCTTGGGTTGGCGCTGGGCCCCCCTGGCGGCGCCTCCAGGGCCGCCATTGGCCCGCGGAGCGCGCCAGGGAGGGGGGTCGGAGCACCGATCCAAGAAGTCCGCGCGGACCTTCGAAATTCACTCTTTATGCAGTTCGCTTGGCTTTCCTCGGCGAAGGGGAATAATGGGGTTCGAAGAGGAAACTCGCTAAATCACTCACGCCCTAAAGGGCTGGTAGGATTGCACCGTGGATGTGCAAACTTCACTGTGTAATCATGTGGTGCAAGCTATGTGGGACAATCTGTGCGGTGCGAACTGTGTGGTGCAAGCTGTGTGGTGCAAGCTGTGTGGTGCAACTAACGCGGTGCAGCCTGCGTGGCGCAAGCTATGTGGTGCAATCTATACGGCGCAAGCTGTTTGGTGCAAACTGGGTTGTGCAATCTGCGTGGTGCAAGCTTTATGTTGTAAGCTATGCCTGGCAAGCTGTGTGGTGCAACTGACGATCCTGAAGCTACGGGGTGCACGCGTTGCGGCGCAACCTGTGTGGTCCTAGCCATGTGGTGCGCACTATGGTGTACAATCTACGTGGATCAATCGGCCTTGTCGAATTTTCTATTCGTCTACTCCAATGCTCGCGCAAACATCCCACCCTCCAACCCGCAACTTGTTGAGCAACACCCAGGCGGCCACGACTCCGGATACTACCTGGCCCTTGCTAGCGGATCTGTGCGGCCGCACTCGGGCACGCTCGCGGGCAGGGCGGTCATCTGGATTGGCACATCTGCTGCAACCGCGATGGCGCTTACTAACGGGACATTCCCAGCGTGTCTCTAAGGCCGCGATGACACGCTAGTTTTTCAGTGCGGTTCGGTGATTCGGGCAGGCACGATATCATGATGACGTCGGCAACGGCGGGAACGATGACGATATGAGCGATAATGTAAGCGATCATGTCGATGATGACGGCGATGTCACTGACGACGCCGATGGTGGTGAAGACGATGACATTGATGATGCCATGTGTCGGTGATGAAGGTGATTGTGCTGATGATGGCGGCAATGGCGGCGGTTGGCGATGACGACGACGGTGGTGATGCGATGGCGCCGATGAGTGGGGTGGTGAGGGAATTCGCGCGCGAAGCACACCAGCGAGTCGGGCATCGCCTGTCTTGGAACACCTATATCTCACGCGTGTTTGAAACAGCGCTGTCCTGATACTCGTCGAGGGCCACCGGTTCCCAACAAGCTTTCGGTGCGCCGCCGCGCGCGTGTGGCCCGCGCGCAATTGTCTGTGACGGATTTTGTTGTGCACTGGGCGCATGCCAGATCAACGCAGGTGCACCGCGCGGTGCGATGAGAGTGCGGGCTCTGGACGACGTGTTGCAACCATATGGTGCCCCTGCGGTTCCAGCAGGTGCGCGCGGGCAGGACAAAAGTGGAGTGTTTGGGACGAGCAGCCGACGTAGAGGCGTTCCTTCGGTCGTTCTATGTCCTATTGCTGCCCGCTATGCCAGGAAGTGTCCGGTTCGGGCCGGTTCGGGCCGGTTCGGCGGCGGACCGGTTCGGTTGCAGCGGTTCGATTTCGGCGCTGGTCCGGTTTTGGTCGGTCCGGTTTTGCCAGTCCGGGTCGGTTATGCCGGTTCGGTTCGGCGGTCGCGGGGCGGTCCGGTTTTGGGGGGGCCGGTTTTGGGCCAGAGGAGGAGAAGGAGAAGGAGGAGTGAGGAGGAGGAGGAGGAGGAGGAGGAGGAGGAGGAGGAGGAGGAGGAGGAGGAGGAGGAGAGGAGTGAGGAGGAGGAGGAGGAGGAGGAGGAGGAGGTTTAGGAGGTGGGCGAGGAGCGAGGTGCCAGGAGCGCGGAGCGAGGAGGCTCGCGCGCCCATCGGCTCCGCGCCCGGCGAGGTGCCTCGCTGCAGTCGTCGTCGTCGTCGTCGTCGTCGTCGTCGTCGTCGTCGTCGTCGTCGTCGTCGTCGTCGTCGTCGTCGTCGCCGCCGTCGTCGTCGTCGTCGCCGCCGTCGTCGTCGTCGTCGGGCGCCCCCGGACCTCTCGGCCCCTTCCCTCATGCCGCTCTTCCCCTCGTCTCCGCGGCCCCGGGGCCAGAAAACGCGGGCCTCCGGGGGCCCGGGGTTCGGCCGCCTGGAGCTGCTTTGCCGCCTGGAGGAGGAGGGGGGAGGAGGAGGACGAGGAGGAGGAGGGGAGGAGGGAGGAGGAGTAGGAGGAGGAGGAGGACGAGGAGGAGGAGGA